TCAGCTTCTTGAATACTGTCCACAATCAACCACAGCCGGATTTAAGGTCCAATTTTAACACTGTCAGACGTTGTTGACCCCTAAGGAGGTGGATCATTGTCGAAAAAATGGGTTGTGTTACCATTGCAAAGAAAAATATGTCAGAGGCCATTCATGTGACAAGAAGCAATTGCTCCTCCTTGATGTACAGGAGTAGGATGATATAGTGCTTACTGATGACATTGAGACTGAAAAACCAGAAATCACGGCATGTGCTTTGTTTGGAATCCCTACACCTGCTACAATCAACACAATGAGGGTTACTAGATTCATCAAGAATTGCTCAGTTACGATCCTTATTGATTGTGGCAGCTTTCTCAAAAATCGAGTAGTAGCAAGCCTCTTCGATTCTGAGATCGGCCCTCGTGGTCTCTGAGCAGCCTAGCTTTTGAGCAAGCAAGCCTCTTCGATTTTTTAGATCGGCCCTCGTGATTCTGACGGCCTTCGAGGCAAGAATGGCATCAGGCTTCCTCGGGTGTACCAACATTTCTGGTGGTGCAACCGGAAGCTACGCCACGAGCTTTGCAAGAAGACGACCTCCTGCTTCCTTTTTCTTGTACACAAATGATATTGGGGTGGGGGAATTGAACTTACATAGTGCTTTTGATGCAGGGTTATACTTTTAACTGCTTTAGTGGTTGGAGCAAGCTAGGTTTAGGGTTCGAAACTCTCAAATTTAAGAAAAGCACTAAAAAATGTTCACAATCACTTGAATGACAAGCCTTTAAAACTAATATTTTTATTTTATGAATAGACAAAATTTTTCTTTTTCAAAGAACAAGACTTGGAAGTGCCCAAGGACTAGATGGTGGAATCTAAAAGAAGAAAAAACAAGCCATTTTCAAAGAGAAAGTAATCACCCAGTGTGTGTGGGATAGAGAGGGGGAAGCTAACCAAATGTGGGATTCCATGGCTAGTTGTATCCGAAAAGTAGCAAAAGAGGTATTAGGAGAGTCCAAGGGCTTTGCCCCACACCAAAAGGAATCTTGGTGGTGGAATGAGGAGGTACAAACAAAGGTGAAGGCTAAGAAGGAATGTTGTAAAGCCTTATACAAGGATAGGACCGATGAAAATGGTGAAAGGTATAGAAAAGCGAAGCAAGAGGCGAGATCCACGATGGCACAAGTAAATCTGGTAAGGATTTGTTAACCACGTTTATCCAGGACTCCGAATCATTGACCAGATCTGCTCAACGCTCATTCACTTGGTCTAATTTTCGAGAAAAACAGTTTGCTGAAGATTAGACAGATTCGTTTATAGTCTGCTCTGGGTGGTCTTGGGAGGAGTGTATTCTCTGAACCATGACAAGTAGTGATAACTAAGACATCTGGCAAGGGGTCGAAACATGACTTGTATACCAAATTGGCCCTAAGGATCGAATTAGAGTAAGCCAACAAGGTGACGTGTGTGGCCGAGGCACCTTATTTAGTGGTCTTAGAGAATTTACATTGACGTTAACGCATAGTGCATCCGGATATGTCTAGAAACAATCTCAGAGAGAAAGAGGATAGAGTGATTATACTGGTGCACTAAAGCCAGAGGTGGGAGGGGGTGGCGGAGTCACTATTAGTGAAGATTTGGGGGATGGAAAAAGAGGGTGGTGCGTGTGCGCGGGTTACTTTAGGGGAGAGGGGAGACGACGATTTAGATAATTATTCCAAGTGAAGCTGTAATGAATGTGATTTAAAAAGAAGATATTGACAAAGTTTTGGTGAGACAATGATGGTTTCTTTCTCAATCGTGTGATATCACATTATGAGACAGGGAACAATCTGTAATGGAAGGCGACCATTGCCAGTGCTAACACTTTTAGAGGATAAGTTTGACGCGTGTAGATTGGAGTAACTATCAGAGAAGAGGTAGTAGAAATATCCTAGACTTCGAGACTTCCTAATATAAAGGAATATAGAGGGAAGAGACTAGGATATACTCCTAGCTCGGGAGGATCTGGCTAATTGAGAAGGGAAGTGAAGTGTAAATGTAGACTTGTTTGGAGGCAGAGAAGCAAAGAGTGAAGAGTTTGGGAAGCACAATAAGAGAACAGGGGATGGCGCGAACACTGATACCGGCAGGGGGGGGGGAGCGGGGAAAGTTTTTTCCATTAAGGTAGCAAGTGGGGAGAAGGAAGAGAAGAATTTTGTATAGACCGAGATTGGATCAGTGGAGACATTTGATGGTCATATTCTAGATCATGCAGATGAGAGGCGCTCCCAGAGTTACGGTGAGATTGGCATAATTGAAATTCATGTCACTTTTGTGATCAGTCGTTCAGTGTACTATACTCTGAGCATACGGATACTGGACAAGTGTGGCGTCGGTACAGTGATAGGTGGGTTGGTAGTTGGGCGTTGCCTGGACCTGGTATATTAATGAGGGTAATCCAAAATTAGCATGGCATCACGTAAGGAGTAGTTCTCGGCGAAGACGCCGAACGGCCGTCGAGGCAAGCTCCGAATATAAATTACAGCAGTGTGACTTCTCAGATGCTGTTATCGTGACATATTAAGCCCCCTGGTCAACCATAGATGGGGTATACATTCTTCATCAAAGATATCGCGAGTGTGATAATGGGCAAGATGATCTCTTATTGATAAATAGTGTGCGTGGTATCCGATTAAGGTGTCTTCGGTACGAGCAGTGAGTCATATCCGCGCGAACAGAATTGGTTATACAATCATGCAGTAACAAAACTCGGAGTACGTCGCCAACCTTTCACACCTCTTGACCCATATATGCGCCTTAATGCCTCTCTAAAGAGCGTGCCCGATTCTGCTGCTACTTGATGACTAATAGGCCTCTACGTACCGCCCTTTAGATTCATACCAAGTCTCTTTACAATTAGTCGTCGGCCGCACAAGATGCACTTAGGCGTGAACAATACTATAAGACCACCTGTCTGCGATGTTAGACGTCTAGACACCGCCTTTGAACCCCAGTCCTCCAATAGGCTCTTTTGTATAAGACGAACTAAACCATTCGTGAGCCTGTAATGGTACCCTCTATTATGCAAAACAGAGAGGTGGTTCTCGTGCCAGAAGGTCGAGCGCAGCAGATGGCAAGGAGGTGTATTAGAGTTATTCGCATTGCATTCCCGTAAAAATGCGGTTAAATAGAACCACGTCAGAATTGGAGATTACTTGGAAGATAGTGTAGTCTATTCTAAGAGCATAAGTGAATGATAGTGCGATTTGAGAGAGATGGGAAGACTCTACTATAGTGCCACGTGATAGTTGCCCTGGCGAATCCATGCGGACGAGTAAGTAGTCACGGCTACTCTTTTCTCAGATTCACTGAATCTTAGATGGAGAACCTAGGTGTATTGTTATGGAGAGTGTCATAATTCAAGAGTGCCACTAGAGAGCACGCGTATAAATGTCGGTGTAGCGCCTTTCCTCGTACTCACGCAATACGTCTTACGGAGATTTCCACCGTAGTGGTAGACGTTCATGCCAGGGAGTTGAACCACATGAGACAGCTCTCAAGTGATTGAGACGGCTCGAGAGGGAACAGTTAATCAACTTGCGCATCAGTCAAAGTGCCTGACAGCGGCGTGATATATGCTGCATCAAATGTCTCTACGTCTGACAGACAAGTCTCTATCGATTAGTCAAATCATAGCGGACTGACAACCAATTATTCTGGGAGAATGGGGATATGAGGACTAGGTGGAACAATTTTTTTACAACCTCTTGCTGACTAAATTTGGTTGTGCAACGTGTTTTCATAGGTGTTTTGAAGATTATGAATTTACATAGACGACAAAAAATAGTGCTTGGTGGGAATAATTCTTAATGGCATTGATAGGAGGGATAACTTACCCAGGGCTAGCAAGCTATCTTGGGTGCCTGTTGAGTGTGTGGAGGATGTTTATGTGGAGAGCCGAAAAGATTGAATACCTGGATGTCTTTCCCCTCGGAGGCAAGCCAAAATCTATTAATTCTGGGACCCTATGTAGGAGGGGTGGAAAGAGATTCAAGGTTTGGAATTAAAGTTATTTTATCTAGAGGCGGAAGATTAACATTGATCCAAGCTGTCCTAGGATCCTTGCCCATATACTACATGTCCCTGTTCAAAGCCCCACGAGGGGTCATTGGGAGATTGGAAAAGCTAATGAAAGGGTTCCTTTGGGAAGGGGTTGAGGAAGGAAAGAAGTTTCACTTGGTCAAGTGGGAGAAAGTGTGTAAAAGCAAGGAGGAAGGTGGCCTTGGTCTGGGAAATTTGAGAAATCGGAATGCCGCCTTATTAGCCAAGTGGCTGTGGAGATTCCCGCGCGAATCAAACTCTCTTTGGCATAGGGTGATAAAGAGCAAGTACGGTCTGGTGGCAAATGGTTGGATGCTAATTGTCCGAGTCGAGGCTCGAGCAGGCGTCCCTGGACAGACATCTCAGCTGGTTACCCTTCATTTCTTCACTCATGCATCTTCGAGGTTGGTAACGGAGAGAGGCTGAGATTCTGGGAGGACGGTTGGGTTGGAGGGCGGACCGTTGAAGGAGCAATTCCCTAGATTATTTTCTTTAGCAAGGACAAAAAAACCAAAGTATTTCCAATTTGGTGGTTTCTTCTTTACAGCCGGTCAGTTGGAATTTCGATTTTAGGAGAAACCTAAGAGAGTCGGAGATTGAAGATGTGGCTGGTTTAGTGCAGAAGGTGGAGTCCGTACGGCTGTGTCATTCTAGAAGAAGACAGGAGAAGATGGAATTTAGAAGGTTCTGGCCAGTTCACTTGCAAATCCTATAACTCTTTCCTTTGCAACAATGAAGTTGTGCAACAATTTCCCCCTTTCGTTCAGATTTGGAAAGCAAAAGTGCCTCCAAAAGTCAAAATCCTTGTGTGGCTATTGGCGCTCGGGAAGGTTAATACTTGTGAACAAGTCCAAAGACGAATGCCTTTTGCATGTTTCTCCCCCAATGGTGCGCTTTGTGCAAATCCGGGGAGGAAAGCGTCAACCATGTTTTTCCTCCACTGTCCGTATAGCATTCAAATTTGGTGGAATTTGCTCAAGGAAGCTGGAGCAAGTTGGGTCACTCCAAAGGGCTGTTTTGAGCTCCTAAGCACTAAGTTCGAAGGCCTAGGGAAAGGGAGGAAAGCCAAAACTTTGTGGGGATCTCTGTTGTTGGCCCTCTTCTGGAACATTTGGTTGGAGCGTAATAAAAGAGTCTTTGAGGATTACAAGGGAGTGGGGGTTGAGGAGCTTTGGGATAGAGTAAAACACTGGGCAGCCCTTTGGGCTTCGGTTTCAGTGGAGTTTAGAGATTACAATTTCTCTTCTATTTTTAGGGATTTGTTAGCTGCCGTTATTTGATTTGGTCTAGCTTTTCCTCTGTTCATTTAGTTTTAGTTAGGGGCCCTTGCTAGTTTTCTTCTAGCTCCAGGTGGATTTCTTTTCCACGTGGTTTACTGTTTCTCTTTTGTAATTCTTTCGTTTTATAAAATTCTTTCGTTTCTTTTCAAAAAAAAAAATTCATTACTGGCTTTATCATATTCATTACCCTCTTTTTCTTAAAAGGGTTTTGGCTTTGGAAGGAGATGGAGATCGGTGACAATGATCGGAGTTCGTCGCTGTGTGGATGATCCCAGTGTAGCGCTGGTTTTCAACTCTAGTGTTTTGTAGGGTTTTGGGGGCGTGAATTTTGGGGGATTTCGTTTTGGATTTCTAGGTAAGCAATTGTCACCTCTATTCAACTTAAATTTAGTTCCCTTTTTTTGTTTCTCAAATTTGTTTGATGGAAAGATTGTTTTATCCTTTACTGAACAGGTGTTAGGATTAATAGTTTTGAATTTATTTTTTATTTTATTTTGAAGCCCTGAATTTTGCAAGGACTGTCTACCCTGTATGTACACCAAATGCTCCTGACATTTCAAATAAGGTAACTTCCCAAACACTGATGTTTCGCTTTTTTACTGGTATATGTAGTCCATTGAGTTCTGTAACTTTACTAATATTCGTTTACTATGCAAGTTAAATTGTTATTTTTTCGGTTTTTCAATAATTTTGTTTTTCTACTCTACATCCTGGATTAAGAGGTTGCCATGTCAAGGAGTTCGAGTTTTGCTTAATAGATAACAATTGTTTTTAATCTTAGTCTGTAATCTGTATGGTCTTGATCATGTCTTTTATTTTGGTGGCAGTTAGGTGTCACTAGATGGTCCACTAAAGCAGCTAAGGGTATTGAAATCAGTTATGGTTGATTGGTGGTGTGGAATTGTAGAGGGATATGGTAGACATGAGTATAATTGGAATGGATACAAGAGGCTCTTTCAAATGGTACAGGCCTGTTTTATATAAATACGTTTTTTGACTTGCAGAAGCTTTTTTCTCTCAGTGGGCATATAAACACCACCTGTGGTTAATTGTTTTGCAATCTTTGTGGTCATTTTTATTCTTTCCATGGTTCCTGTAATGCTTGGCAAAGTTATGAAATTTAGTCTCTGAATTCACAGTATAGAGATTATATAATCATTTGGGCATGGTTTCTCTCTAGGATAAAGCTTGTCTGGCTATATATATGGAATTGGGTTTGTGTAATTAATGTCAAATAATTGAGTCCAACATAGTTATAAGCTTTCATCTTTCTTCCTTCGTTTTTCAAAAGAGGTTAATTTTATACTCATTTTTTAAGAATTATGCATAGTAGTTGTTTAAATAATTGTGGCATTTAATAGTCCTTGCTTCTGTAATTGTGAGATGATTATTGTGTATTTGCTTTATTTAATTATAATGTAGGGGTGATGGAAAATTTAATTTATGCAGGTGTTTTCATTTTTTCTTCCTAGCCATCAATTTGGTTTTGCACATGATGCCAAAAAGAACTAGGAATAGCAAAAGAAATCAGATTGTACAAGATCATACTTCTAAAAGTCCCTGCAGCGGAGCGCGGGCATTTTTGCTAGTTCATACTCTTATCCAGGCAAGAACTTGTTTAATATGAAATTTTATTAAATTCTTGAAAACAATTTTTTAGGAGGAAACAGAAAAATAGATAGAAACGAAAGCGTAACAACCAATACACATTTGAATCTAGTGATTTGGGCATCACCAACATCAATTAAACTGGGTTATTTTGGCTAAAAAGGCGACAATTTTGGCTAAAGTCCGAAAACCTACGACCCACTGCCTCAGAGCCTCTCGGAAGATGGATCCTGTCACTGTCAATGTTACAGAAATAGTATTCAGCCGCGCACGTGACAGTTGAAATTACTTTCTTATCGCAGCTATGGATGCATTGAACCCCCGTCTCTACACCCCCCGGAACACGGGATCTTGTGGTTTCAAGGAAACTTTGGCTCCACTCCCAAGTAGATCTTTCACGTTGGATCGTTGTATCTTCACCACTTGATGGGACATCCTCCTTATCCTTATTTTGCTGCTCGTACACAAACTGGACTCCAATCTCCTTTGTGAGCAAACCATAGTCCTCTTTGATTGCAAGACACACTCTTTCCCCGCATTCCAACTCATTGTTCCCCCATGATCCAACGGCTAAGCCATAACATATCTTCGTTCATCACTTTCCATTCAACCTCATCCCACAAGTGGCAGTTCCACTTAAGGCCCTTTGTCTCATTCCTAAGTTCTAGCGAATGGTCATCATGGTCACGTGCAACCTCAAGGCAATCCGACTGCTGTGCATATAATATACATGCGTTTAAACCTACGATCTTGAGAGGGGAGTGTATTCAATTAGGATTTTGAGAGTCTCCAGGAATTTAAATCTATGGAATCTGAGAGAGTTTGAGAGGAAAAAAAAATGAATTCCCAGAGATTTTGAGTGAATTAATTATAACTTCCAGAGAATTCACATGAATTATGAGAGAATTCTTTACATGGGGTTAGAGAATTTTAGAGAATTTGATCAACATTTTCCTTCCCTTTACAAGCCAAAATCAGTTTCATCCTACTAATACCAAATCCCAATACCAAGTTCACATGCAATGTTTTCAAGTAGCTATCAAAGTGAATTAAACATTGGCATCCAAAATCTTGAAAGTTAAGGCTTACAAAATACTAACTATCAAAGTTTTTCAAACACAAATTGCATACTCCAATCCGTAAAAACAATTAATTATATTTGTCATCTTTGAATGCTCTCACTCATAGCATCTGTCCACATATTTGTAGCTATGCTAGCTCTCCATGCATTAGCAATCTGTCGCCGTTGCTCTTGAGTTTGATTACCTAGTTCATCATCATTTTCAAATTCATCATCTTCTTGTTTGATTGGAAATTCATCAGAACGACACTCTTTGCGAAGAAAGTTGTGCAATCCTGCACAAGCTAACACTAACTCTGCTTGTGTTTTCATTGGAAATGGAGGTGCAGACTTAAAAACTATGAATCGAGATTTAAATACACCAAATATCCTCTCCACTATGTTTCTCAAGGAAGCATGTCGAAGATTGAACAACTCATTTGCATTTACGGGGTCACGATCGTTACCAGCAAAATCTTGGAGATGATATCGAACACCTCAAAACAGAGCTAAAATTTGACGACGATTTGCAAATCCACAATCCACTAGAAAAAATTTACCTAAAAATAAAACACATAAAGTTATTATTTATGGTACGTCCTAGTGTAAATAAATGAATGAATACGAACCTTCTGGAACTTTAAGTCTGTTCTTCCTTGATACAACATCATGTAACAGTTTGGAGTCATGAGCTGAACCCTCCCATCAACTAAGAATATATATGAATTCCAAATCAAAGTTACAAGCAGCTAATACAGTTTGGAGTCATAAATTCGTTCCAGTCATACATTTACATATCAAGGTGAGTTCTAAATATTAGGACGATAGTTCAGAAGAATATTGGACATAAATGCCTCACCTCTGAAATCACTTCCTTGCAACTCCAAATGAACTCCCTATAATAAGATAATAAACGTAATTAGTTTGTGTATATGATCACATGGATTCTTTATTCACAGCTAATTCGTATAAGTGAGCAAAAAACATTTTAAAAGAATAGAGAAAGCAGAAACTCAACAACTTTTGGAGTGACAAATTATTTGTATAGACAACGTTTTCAGAGGTGAGGGACCCAAATTCCATCTTCATATTCAAGTTCTGCACCCATTTTGGAGGGGAAATCCATTGGTTTTGATTTGATTTATGATACCGTAAAGAATGCCAAGAAGTACGAGCCCTATTACAGGCTGATCAGGAATAGACTAGATACAAAGGTTGAAAAATCAAGGAAACAACTTCACCCTACCATGTTTCGACTAAAAAAAAAAACTTTGAGGCATGAAATAAATTTTTTATTAAGATGAAAGAAAAAGAATGAGGTTGCAAGAATGTTGCAGTTGAAAAGAAAAGGATCAGTGCTCCACTGATTACGGGATGGAAAAGGAAAACAACCTATACAAACTTGAGAATTCCAAACCCTAACCCAATCTATACTGTATTCCAAAGTAATCAAAGCAGAAAAAAATCCCACAACTTTTGGATCCAAACGGTAAAATCGTAAATTCAATCAATTACTTGTATCTTCACAAAAATAAAATTATATATATAAAAATTTCTTCACCTAAACAAGAAATTTGAATGGTCAGAAAAAAACCCTAACCCTAACAAGAAAAAAACCTTAACTCCAAAGTAGTCAACCAAAGAAAAAAACCAACTAATCAAGCTGAGAACAACACTATCGCAAAACAAGAAAATCATGAAGCTTGAGGGGAGAAAAAAAGATAGCATGTACAAGGTGAGAAATTTTTTACCTTGGAGCCCATGTTTTCTGGGGAGGAGAAGACGCTCCTCTGGAAGGAGAGAGGCAGCACGCTCAACATGTCTCAAAGTTTCTAGGTGTTGAGGTGAGATTGAGCCAAGCTCTTTGTATACCACCTTATATAATCTCTTGAAATCCTCCAAAATCCACCAAATCACAAAATCCGTTCAATCCAATTCCATTTTCTCTTCTCCAATTTCTATACCTAAACTTTTAGAGACTTTCAAAAAGAAAGTTATGATTGAATACACCTGAATTTATATAGGGAATTGTAAGAAGTCTTTAAGAATCTCAATTGAATACACCAAGACTTTTTATAAAGTCTTTTAAATTCCCAATTGAATACACCTGGAATCATCACTTGAATCATTAGAGAAGAGACTCTCTCAAAATCCTAATTGAATACACCCCCTTTAGATGTGAAGGAAATAAAACAATAATAGAGAACACAGTTGTTAGTTACCCATGCTCCTGTAATTGAACCGATCTGGAATCTTGCTCCCATGAACAAATATGCTCAAATATGCAGCAGTGTGTGAAAAGTTCCCTGCAGTTTCATGGTGGTGTTGTCATTACAATCTAATCGTTTACGCCATAGAGATCTTATTCACCATATTATAAGCATTTGTACATGAGAGAGAGAGAGAGAGAGAGGAGAGAGAGAGAGAGAACCTTGACGCCCAAACTCTCACAATAGTTCCCCTTGGACCTCAATGCCACCTTTGGGGGTCCCAAATCGAATAGATCTGAGAGATATAAGTCCAAAAATGCTAGTGTATCCAAACAAGCTTCTTAAAATCAACAAGTTTCCCACAATACCTTGGCCTTGTCCCATTACTATGAACATTGAGAAAAATTCCGGTAATCTAAGCCCGCCCGGTGACATGCCCAACTTCGGTTAATTTGTATTCTGATGAGCTTTCAATGATGATGTTGCAACCACGATCACACAATTGTTTTCAACCACTCGGATAATTGAAAGCTGGTGCGGAGCTCTGGAAGCATTGTGAGGTTTTTGCAACCAGATACTTTAAGAGTGTCTGGAGCTTACAAATGAGTTCATGCTTTCTGGTTGGCTTGTAATTCAGATACCATCAAGATCCAAAGTACTCTAATGAGGAACAGCATAGTTAGGGCACTTGGAATCTCTGATATATTGCAGCAAGCCAGTGTTAAACTTGTCAAAGAACGTGGGAGCTCTGGATTGCAAGTATGTGTGAGGTTTCTGCAACCAGATACTTTAAGAGTCTGGAGCTTAACAAGATTGTTCATGCTTTTCTGGTAGGCTTGTAATCGGATTGTAATCAGATCCTTCTCCACGAGGACAGTATTTGGAGGGGGTTTGGCAATCTCTGATATATATTGCAGCAAGCCAGTGTTAAACTTGTCAAAGAATGTGGAGCTCTGGAAGTATTGTGAGGTTTCTGCAACCAGATACTTTAAGAGTTTGGAGCTTAACAAGATTGTTCATGCTTTCTGGTAGGCTTGTAATCGGATTGCAACTCAGATCCAACTTCTCCAACGAGGACAGCATAGTTAGGGCACTTGGAATCTCTGATATATTGCAGCAAGCTAGTGTTAAACTTGTCAAAGAACATGGGAGCTCTGGAAGTATTGTGAGGTTTCTGCAACCAGATACTTTAAGAGTCTGGAGCTTAACAAGATTGTTCATGCTTTCTGGTAGGCTTGTAATCGGATTACCATCAAGATCCAAGTACTCCAACGAGGACAGCATAGTTAGGGCACTTGGAATCTCTGATATATTGCAGCAAGCCAGTGTTAAACATGTCAAAGAACGTGGGAGCTCTGGAAGTATTGTGAGGTTTCTGCAACCAGATACTTTAA